ACTCAATGGCTGATGTAGAACAGCCCATATCGGAGTCCGGTTCTAGATCGTCATCTAGAGACAGATCATCCGCGTAGGACTGATCTTCAGCCTGTTCATGCAGGGCAAGCTGGATGTTGCTTCCGTACCGCTTGCGTTGTGATTTTCTACCTGCAGCGGGTGCCCTGGTACGCCTGGCGAGGTCCTTGGCCTCTAGGTTGACCAGATCCGTCAGTAGCTCTCGCCAGGTGGTATGGTTTTTGAGTCCTAGCAGGGAGAGGTATTCTTTAGGGGCCACTCCCATGACTACATACATGCAAGACACGTCGGTCATTCCCAGATTTGGAGTGGTGAACAAACCAGTCAAGTGTTGTTCCAAAGCCTGCATGGAGGTCCTCCACGTTTGGCCCTTGAGGGCCTCAAGCTTCAGTCTTGCCTTGAGCGCAGCGTGCTTATCTTGATACTGCGTGAGGAGGTCCTCAAGAGTGCGTACAGGAGTTACTGTCAGCCACTTAGTCTGGTCAATTCTCTCATAGCCTGCTGTAACAGCTTGGAGTTCAATGAAATTTTGTATGGCGGGCTCAGTATTTGTGCCCATGATCATGCTTCGGTCTTCCTGCGGTGTTCGCAGTACCTCGAAGTATGAGCGGATGGAGGTAATCCAGGAGGTGATATCCCCTTTCCCGTCATACTTGGACGGCAGAGTGGTCGCCCACTTGTCCACTACGGGACCGCTGTACTGTACGCGTTCAGTTTCTTTTTGTTCAAACCTTCTGCACCAATGAATATGATTTTGTCACATGGAGGAGTTTGTATTTTGATTACAGGTGTTATCTTATCCAATACAAAAAAGATACAAATTACTCAAATCATGCACTTTGGTTATGGTTATACGTGCTAGAAACCCAGTTCATTCCGTTTTATTTCTCATTTTAGTATTTTGTAATACTTCAGGTTTACTTGTGTTATTTTGGGCTGATGTTCCTGCATTTGGGACTATGACCAGTGCAGAACTGCCGGCGCTGCCGCTTGAGGAGCTGGCACCGGTTCCTGCGCTCGTCACAGTTCCACTTGCTCTCGTCATGAGGACTATGTTAGGTTGAGAGACTGGGACTGCAACAGGTCGAGGGTTAGGAGGACGGGGGGCAGACAGTTGGGACTGTTTGAGGCTGACTATCTCAGCCTGCAGCTCTTGGTTCCGCTGCTCCAGGGCTGTCACACGGGACTCAAGGTCTTCCAAGGTCCGCAGTTGAACCAAGGCTGCTACGGCAGCAGCTATCTTCTCTCGGAACCGGTCATCATTCGATTCCGGAACCGCAAGGAGGGCCACCTGTTCAGCAATGCTTGTGGCTCTGGCTGCTGCCTCTACCTCCCTTTCCCTCTGTACGGCATCGTCATAAAGTTTTTGAAAGAACGGTTTCTCGTTCTCGTCCGCTCCGTCCAGCATGGACTGCCATTGGGCAGATGTGATGTTTGCCATGCTGGAGGAAGGGGTATTAGTAGATCTCTCAAGAGGGGTCCGCTCTCTCCTCACATTTGGACGAACACTCCTCTTGCCCTTCCTCACACTTTCAAAAAGAACACCTTCTCTCTCCCTTCTCTCTCTTTCCGCTTTCCGTGCACGCGTCTCGATACCAGACATAGATAGTTCAGATAAAAGAAACAAACAGTAAACCACAAAGAGCAGAAGGTAGATCTCATCGCCGCGGAGCGGCAGTTCATTTGGACTTAGAGAATGGCACGCAGCAGAATAAAGAAAAAAATAATAAAATAATAAAATAAATGGAAGAGAGGACTGACTTATCGAACGGGCCCGATCAGATTAGTTGGAGATCCCCTCTTGTCTAACCTGACAAGGTACATGTACCACAATAAATCAACCGAAGAGAAACTACTCGCAGCAATAGAGATTTCGAGGGGTGCAGACGGTCGTCGAGCCAGACGCGGGGCAGTATGTGATAACATGCAGTAAGACCAGTCAAGATCGCCTTGAAAGGAATGCCCTTGCTAGCTGTATGTCCCCCAAGTTCAGCACAACAAAGAGATGCATTGACCGCAACAGATTTGGGCCCGAAAGGTCCTGTCCCGTTGGGCCGTTGGGCCTGGTCCCACTGAGTCCCGAAGGTCCCAAGTAGGTCGTGGACCAGGACCAACGAGATAGGTGTACCAAGTCAGTCCCAAACTGCCTCTACCGTACTAAAAAGGAAAAGACAACTTCCAGCAAGAACTCGCCCCTACAGCCGTTCAGAAATGAAAAGATATTGCACCGTATAAAGATATGTCATATAGAACAAATACATCATCCATCCATCCATCAGGTGAGAAAGCAATCCACATGCTCACACACACAACCAAGACCGCAGAGAAGAGGAAGAGAGCCCAGCACACCCCAACAGGCCATGACGCACCAAGCAACCTCCCACTGACATAACCAGGTCACACGGCACTTACCTGTGAGGCCCGGACTCCAAAGATGGATAACGACTCACCCCCCTCTCTCACAACTCCTCCTGACCCCTAGCTACCACTACACGAAGTGTCCTAGCATGACTAAGAGGGCCTTCCTACMCCCCTGTTGCAATGTCGGATCCCCCGCCGATGTTTGAAGACCAAAGTAGCAACTCGCAGCTCTCCGATGCACATATGGCAGCCTCCGATCAAGTCTCCCTCTTGACGGGAAGCCCAAAAGTCACTCAATGTCTTCTTGAAGTGCAGATTCCAGGTGCGGGTACCTCTCACTCTCTACTCCCTCTTGCTTACTCCAATCAGCCTCCTTTGTGTCTCGCCACCCCATCCAATCACTCAAGCAACCTGGTCAGGTCTGATGTCGACCCTACATGACCTAACCAGGTGGGGGCAGTATCCACAAACCTCACTGCCCCTCTCAACCCTAACTTCAAAACCCTTATCCGAGATTAGGTT